CCCTCCCACCCCCCCCCCCCGTCATACCAAAAAAAACAACCGGGAAGCCGGCAGGGAAGATTGCAAGTTGCTGAGGTAAGTCTTCCCCACCCGTGCACACCCCCAGCTCCTCTGTGTTCTATGGAACCAATTACTTTGGAGCACTTGGTTTGCAATCTGAAGGTGGAGGACATTTCCATCAGGATCAGTCATATCACATTCTGGTTACTGAAGTTTATGGGCAACTGGCAAGGGAGGGGGAGGTAGTACCTGCCTCGAAGGAAGTGGTATGCTTCCTCCCGAAGAGACAGCCCTGAATTCGGCAGATCTGGGCAACATCTGACACCTCTCCAACCTTTCCTGTTTGGTTAAGTTTGGTTAAGTCTAAATCGGTTGGGGGTCATTTGCAGAGGACCTTGGAAGAAGTAGATGATGTGGATCCTTGCGCTTGAGAGTGGAACAGAAATTGCATTAGCCGCTCGTGGATACCCATAATAGTGATGAGGGGAAGGTATCCCTTTGGGTCTTGTTAGATCTCTCAGTGGGTTTTGATGTGATCAACATTGGTATCCTTCTGGGGAACCTGTAAGGGTTGGGACTTGAAGGCACTGTTTTACTCCTTCCTAAGTGGCTTTGCTCCTTCCTAAGGGGGGGTTCCAGTTGACAGTGATGGGGAAAGAAAAATGGAAGCCCAGGCCACTACAGCATGACTCAGTTCTCTTCCCCATCCTAAAGCCCTTCATGGCTTGGTCCTGGTGGTCTTAAAGCTGTCTGCCAGGTAGAACCTGCCTGTCCCTCATTTTCAGTCAGCAAGGTATGCTTTGCGTCCCTCCACTTCCAGAAGCTAAAGGGGTGGGATCTTCGAAATACGTCTTCTCTGTTGCTGTCTCCTACTTATGGAATAGTATGGCCTACATGGTAAGGGTGACCTCCTTCCCGTTGGTACTCAGAAGAAAAAACAATTCTATTCACTAGGATTTGGGGTCTTAATATTATTGGATGGGTTCAGAGAAAGGCTAGGTATCCATTTGTCTGAGATGCTTTAATTTGAATTTCTGCACTAAGCAGAGGACCAGGTTTGTAGGCTCTTCCAGTTCTGTGGGTCTGTTTACTATATATTGGTTTGTGTATTTGGATTGTTATAGCAGTACTATGAGTTCAGCTGATGTCCCTGTTTTATATATTGATTGTGATGATTAACAGAAGAATGGCTTACTTAAGTAAGTTCCAACAGAGTTGAGGACTTGAACCCAGAAGTTCATACATAAAATTGAAAAGGGGCCCCGTGTCTCTGAGTTCAGTCCCCTCCAGGACTGGATGCAGGAATCCAGATTACAGTGCCCCTGGTGGAGGGCCATCTGCCATCTTCTGCCCATTAATCGGTTTGTATTTTCCCTCTTGCTGGACCCAGATAGGTCTTGCAGTAACAGGGCTGTTAGTCTGTGTCGTGCTTTGCATGGTAATAACAACTTAATGATGTGCCTTGGTCTTCACTTCTTGAGTGATAAATACCTCTTGAGGTCTCTCTCTGTTTCCTGTTTCTGACCATTTTTTGTTGCTCTTGCCGTTCTCTGAACCTGATCCTGGTTGGGTTACTTGACTCCGAGCTGGCAAATACAAATTCAGTACAAAGGGGAAGATTTGGTGTTACCATTTGTAGTTTTTAGGCACATTATTTGGTTTTGGCTACAATCCTTTGCAGTTCTCTTACATGGGGTCTGTCTTGCAGCAGGGGGAGGTCCGACTCAAGTGCCTACTTGCTCTGCAAGGGTTATATTGCAGCCGGGAGACTGCCTCGCAGATGGAGCTTTTCACCAGTCGCTTCAAGGTAAACAGCCATAATACCTCCCGTTAGCTTTGACTAGCAGACCCATCTTGAAAAGGTGGCAGGAGCTTCATTAATGAGAGAGAAGATCATTCTAAGAGCTTGTTCTCAATTACACTTAACTGCAAACACCGTTTGAAAACATCTGCTTTTCTCCTTGCTGTTATCTCATCCCTAGTTCATGAGTGAGAAACCTCAAAGAGTTGTTGGGAGTTGGGTGGTATAAGCTAACTAACTAAAGCTTTAAGAAATAAATATAGGAAGTTAAATAATAAATAAATCAAGCAAGCAAGCAAGCTTTAAGATGTCCTCAATTGTACCTGTATGTGTGGCATTTCACCCCTTAATCCGACACCATTCAAGGACAGCTTCCAGGTGTCTTAAATCTGCCATGCTTTATCAGCTATTATTTTGGAGCAAAATCAGGTGACCACTAGGCCCTGTCCAACCTCACTGCTGCTTTTTTCTTTCAAGGTTCTCTCCAACAGCACCTTGTTTCCTGGGTTCCTTTCATACCTGTCATGCCAGGTTTCCAGCATAGGAGAGGAAAGCAGTCCTCCATTGTTCCATTTTAGGGAGAAAGGGGTCTGTATGTGTGCGGGGGTGTTGTACTAATCCGTTTTAAGACTATCCTGAAATGTGTCTTTAAGATGAAGCATCTTCACCTTTGCAGGATCTGGAAAACAATGAAGGATGTTGAACCATGCTTTGTTGCTTATCTGGCAGTTTCTCTCTTTTTGTTTACACTCTTTGATTACAGTGAACATGATGGTATGGGAGTTATGAAGCAGTTTTCCAGAGATGTTGGCTATGTCAACAGCCAAAACTCATCCAACGCCGAGAAACGCAGGGCAAAAAGGGTGTGTGAAGGGTGGGAAAAAGATGTGCTTTTCATAATTGCAGTGGTTATGGAAAAAAAGAATCACATATTTGCAGTAACAGGGCAATCAGTTGTTTTAGTGGCTTTTTCTAGTATGCCAGAAAGATTCTTAGCTAGTCATGCCATATTGTCTGTCTGTGAACTTAAGCTGAGTTTTGTCCTAGAGCCTAGTGATGCTTGGGAATTTCTGTTGAGGTCTTGTTAGGGTTAAGTAAGGAATGAAAGCTATTAGAGATAGAAGATAAAGCAAAGTCTTCTACGTGTATGCACAACTACAGTGATCACTGGGCTTGCCAGAAGAATACAGAACAGCCCCAAAGCGCACAAGGATATCGCTTATATTCCTTCTGAAATGATACGTAAGAATTGCAGCTGGAATGTAGCATCTGATAAAGAGCACTGTGTGACCTTATTACGGGCAGTCCAGCATTTAAATTCTAAGGAGGCTCCAAGCCTGCCTTTTCCACCAATATTAACCTCTTTTAACATAATGTCTTTTATTATACCCATATCCCTTCACACTAAGGAAAGGGCAACAGCCTGTTTTTTGTAATCTAGCTTTTTCCCCTCCAGGGTTATCAAGCAGTTTCAATTTGCCCGTTCTTTCAGGATTCAGGATCCCTGATGGTAATCATATATGTGCATATGAAATACATTATTTGTCTTCCGTAGTGTACTGCCAGAGGAGATGGGTCTTGACTTGAGGCAGGTTATGAACCTATGGACTTCAACCTTATGAAGGCATGCATTTATGTAGTGGAGGATTGGTGCCCTGTGGCAGCTTTCATAAATTACAAAACATTGACCATAAACAAAATATGTAATGATCTGATAAAAGAATAGCTAATAATCAGAAACATATTTATTTTTAAGTACTGAAATATATGACTGATGCATTTTCAAGGAGATATTTAACCATTCCTAAACAGTTGGCGCATTGGTATTCCCCACCTCCCCAGTACTTCTGTTGTTTTCTGCAGGAACGGATTGTGTCCATGGTGCTGGATAAAGAGCCCCAAGTGGCAGTGGAAGCTGTTAGACTGCTTATTCTCATTCTTCAGTAAGTGATGCCAGAGTAATCTGGAGGCATTGTTAGCATTTGAATTACTCCTTGAATTCAATATTCTCTGTGCTAACTGGCAGAGGGTCTCTTGGGTTTTGGGTCTGTCCTTTCCACCCTTAATTGGAAGTGTTGGGGATTGGCATTTTTATGTGCACTAAAGATTGGTTTCTGTGCAGGAATATGGACAGTGCACTCACAGATGCTGACTGTGAAAAGGTCTTCCCACTTGTATATGCTTCCAATCGTCCTGTAGCTGCTGCTGCAGGTGAATTTTTATACAAAAAGTGAGTAAGGTTCTGTCCCTCTCCTCTCCAATGCAGCGGGGCATTCTGAGAAAACTTTCTCCTCCTGTTGTGTGCAGGAATATAATTTCCTATTTCTTCCTAAAGATTTCTAAGTTGGGTTCCTTTTCCTAATGATTGTGGCTTGGCTTGTAGGTTGTTAGCACCCAAAGTGAATGCCAGGGGAGAATCAGGGGAGCACCATGAGGGCACTCGTGTCTTCGTTCAATTGCTTTTGGTGTTCTTCATTGAAAGTGAGGTAAGCAAAGTGTTTGAACAACAAAGAGTGAGAGTCCTGGGGAGGCTTGCCCAGGCTGGTTTCACTATTTTGTTCTGCACCCACAGTTCCATGACCATGCAGCCTATTTGGTAGATAGCCTTTGGGACTGTGCGTCTGCCCTGCTGAAGGATTGGCAGGTAATGACAGGCCTTCTGCTGGAGGAATCTTCTGTAGAAGGTGAGCATTGGTTGATGGGCTTCAGTTCACATCAGCTGTTTGCTGCTAAAATGAATGAAAAAAAGGTGCCCTCAGAGTTCCTTAAATCCCACCCAGGGTTGGAAGGGCAAAGTGTAAGTGGAATCATGGACTGGCTCCCAGTTGCTTTCCAGGTGCAATTCAGTTGCTGGTTATCCCCTTTAAAGTCCTACATGGCACAGGGCTAGGTTATTGTGGGATCACAGCTCCCTGAGGGTATCTGCCCATTCTACTAGGTTAGATAGGGTGGGTGTGCTCCAGGTCCCCTCCTTTAAATGTCACCTGATGGGATCTTGGGGGTGTGCCTTCTTGATGGCTGCCCCAGTCCTTTGGAATAGCCTCCCACCTGTGATCCAAGGGATCCCTACCCTTTTAGCCTTCTGGGAGTGCAATTCTAGATGCTGGTTATTACCTATAAATCCCCGTATGGCTTAGGGCCTAGATATCTGAGGGGCCGCTTGTCTCCAATCGTTCCTGCCCTCCTGGTATGTTCTGGCAGAGTGGGTGTGCTCCAGCTCCCCTCTATTAAATGTTGTCTTGCGAGACCAAGGAAGTGTACTTTCTTCATTGTGCCCCCGTCGTCTGGAAAGCATCCCCCCAGAGATAAGGACAGTGTCTCTCTCCAGGGGTTCTGGAACGTTCTGAAAACCTGGCTTTGGTCCCAGGCCTGTTTTGTTTGAGTTGTGTTGCTCTTAAGATCATTTTACTCTGGGCTGTTTATGTGGTTTTATGTTTTATCCGTTTTTATAGATTTTTTTGGTTTAGTATGGTGCCAGAGTCGATTGGAGTTGGGAGGATATAATGAATTTGAATAAACAAACAATAAACAAACAAACAAGGATGAATTTCCTAAGTATGAGAGAGAGCTCTTGAGCAGTAGAACAGCTTGTCCCCTGGAGTTGTAGAGGCTCCATCACTGGAGGGTTTCAAAGGCTGGACAGTCTTTGGTCTGGGATGGTCTGAAGTTTCTTGTGTCCGAGGTGCTTTCCAACCCTGTGATTCTGTAGACTAGATGTACCCAGATCCTTTAACTCTTCCTCATAGGGGCTGGTTTGTTGACCCTTCTCCATGTTGGTAGTTGTCCTCTGAACTTGCTACAATTTGTCACAGGACATATACTCACAATGGGATCTGATCAATAGAGTGGAATAATTCCTTTAATTGGAATTCTGTAAGGAAATTCTTAGGGAAATTCAGTTTCTTTAAGGAAATTGTTAAGGAAATTCAAGAATTCCCATAATCAGAATTCTCAACTCATGTTACAGGTAGTCCTTGCTTAACAACCACAATTGGGATCGGCAACTCTGTGGGTAAGCAATATGGTTGTTAAGTGAAACATCATCTGACTGCCCCGGACTTACGATGTCACTCTCACTGCAGATGTTAAGCAGATTACCTACAGTCATTAAGTGAGACATCACTTGACCACGACTTGCGATTTTACTGACGGCTTCTCCATTAACTTTGCTTGTCGGAAGCTGGCTGTGAAGTGCGCAAATGGTGATCATGTGACTACGGGATGCTGTGATTGTCATAAATGCCTGCTGGTTGCGAAGTGCCTGAATTTTGATCACATTTTCGCAAGGATGCTGTGACATTGTAAGTGCGAGGACTGGTTGTAAAGTTGCTTTTTCAGTGCTGTTGTAACTTTGAACAATTGCTAAATGGGGCAGTCGTTAAGCAAGGACTACTTGTAATGCATCTCAGGATAGCACTGGCCTTTCTAGCAGCTACATCACACGGCAAACTCGTGGTTGACAACGATGCTCAGATCTTTTCCCTATATATTTGCCAAGAACCTTCCAGAAATTTTCATGATTACTTAAAGCAGACCTGCTGCCCTCTCCTCAAGTTCTTTCAGTACCTTGGAGTTTAATCTGGCCCTGGGGGCTTGAGTTAGTTTACTTGTAATGATGACCAGCTAAGGGCTCCATTTCTTTTCTGAGAGAAGACAGACAAAAAGAAATTAAGACAGTATTTCTTCTTGTGCCGTTACTGAGTACAGTTTATACTCTATAAATGAAGTGAAATGGGCCTGTAAGATGCCAAATCCTGGGAATCTTTACCCAATTTAGGTAAAGATTTAAGGAAATTGTGAGCATCCTAGCGTAAGCCAAATCCAAAAATGCCAGGGAATTTCTGGAAGTTTGGCATTCAGACAAATCAGCCATCAGTAGATACATAGAAATAAACCATATTTACACACCATTCAAAAGAGACAAGAAGAAGCTAAGAAGGAAACAAAAAGACCAGGATGCATCCCCTCCATGAGCCAACACCCAGATAAACAGGGATTAACAATCAGTCAAGTAGAAAACAGTATCCTAATCAAGGAACTACCAAGGAAAAACCCATACCTTCACGAACGCTGGCAGGGCAAGCTACTGTATATAAACAGGGAGCAAACCCCATACACCAGCACTGATGATGTTACCTGGTTGGGTAATGAAACGTCTGCAAGCAAACAACCCAGCTCAGAGAGCACCAAGGGCTCCACAGAACTCTTCTTTGTTGTATTCGCTGTCTTATGCAAGCCTTCATTCATTCTGAGCTTTAGCTTTTCTAACGTGATTGCTACAGTTTCTGGAGGTACCTTATGTTCTTTAGTCATGTTCCTCTCCATGCTGGGAAGAAATTGTGCAGACCACATTTTTGCTCTTTAGGTCATTGAGAAACATACGACTAAGAAATTGAAGTCTATGTTTGTAAATTTAGTGAAAGCATATTATAAAAGTGAATGGGAATCTGAATTATGGAAAGTTTCACATAAATATGGTTGCTGAATGTGGTGAGAGCAATAGTAAATCATGTGTGAGAATAAGTGGAATGCTTGGCAAATGGGTCAGCCCTGAGCAGACAAGGATGTGTGATGACCCCTTATTTGTTAAATGTATTTATGGAGAAATATGTAAGGGAATTATTCAGGGTTTTTCAAGAAAGCTAGGCAATTTGTATTTTAAAAATTCTGCTTATTGTATCCAATTAAAAATAAGTTAAATTGGTGGTTCTTTATGGATGCTATAGTATAGTGCTCCTGCATGTTTAGGAAACTGTAGTTCAGCCACACTGTTAGGACTGCAGGTTGTGATAGATGTGTAATATGGATGCATTCTACGTGTTAGATGCTCCATAGCTAAACTGCTATGTTGCTCAGCAGGTTTGGGTGATCTAAAGGAGAGCAGCCTCATTTTGATCTTGGTGGCCAGCATGCGGCAAGCCACAGAAGGGCATCCACCTGTTGGCAGGTTCTCTGGGAAGAAGGTATCCTTCTTGGTTCTTCCTTAACCAAGGTTCTTCTTAACCCACATGGACCTACCTATTCCTTCTTCTCCTCCTCTTCCTCTTTTCTGCTTTGTCAGGTATCTTCTGCTCGGGAACACAAAGTGCAGGCCGAAGACCGTGTAAGACTCACGCAACATTTCATCCCCCTGCTGCCCCAGCTGCTAGCGAAGGTGAATGCATTCAGAGGATCTCTTGCTAAGCAGGAGGAGAAGTCAGATCATTCTGTTCTTGTTAGCCTGTGGCCCTGCCTGATTGTTTTGGAGGGCTGATACACTTGGCTTTCCTTGCAAGGAGCGGTGTGTCCTGTTTGTGCCCTCTGGTGGTGGTTCAGCAGCCTGACACTCTTCTCTGCTCTCTTCTGGCAGTTCTCAGCTGATGCCGAGAAAGTGGGACCTCTGCTGGAGGCTTTGTGTTATTTTGATCTAACTCATTACAGCACAGGCCGCCGGGAAAAGGTAGGAGACTCATGCTATTGCTCTCCCCACCTGTACCTTGTTTTCCCCCCTAAATAGGCTCTGCCTCCTGTTTCCCAAAAAAGTCCGAATCTGCCTTTGGATGCTGCTGTGACTCTCTCTGTCTTTTCCTCCCAGTACTTAGAATTGCTGCTGGCCCAGCTAAAGGAAGTTGTGGAAAAGCACACCAACAGTGAAGTGCTGGAGTTGGCTTCCCAGACTCTCCATCTGCTCTGCCGTACAGAATTTGCTTTCTATCGCCATGCAGATTTTGCTCGTAGCTGTATTGTGGACTATCTGGCGGATAAATTCCAACACGAGGCTACTGAACTACTCCAGGTAGAAGAACTGTATCATGGCAGGTGTCTAGGCCTGAATGAGTCTTGAGAGTGAGAGCAGTTTGATAGGGATTCTGGTCTGGAGTAGAAGCTGCCTTGGGATGTGGGCCTGGAGGGTGCCTAGCTCAGGATTCTGGTGCCTTCTAGGTTTTGAACTCTCATTCATTAGTCCCAATTGACATGATCATAGTAGAGGATTCTGGTGGCTAAAGTCTGCTCTAGCTTAGCCTCTAAATGCTAAGAATATGAGGGGTGAAAGAGTGTCCTATGGTAAGTTCCTCCTCCAGTTTGCTTAGTTGATAGGACTATTTTAATCCTTGCAGGCTTTTGGCCTTCACAGGAGGATGTGTCAGGCCCAGCCCAAGAAACAATGGTAAAACTGTCCAGTTGAGTTCAGTTCTTTTATTTGCTTACACCATATAGACAGAATCTTGCCAGACTAAATCTTTACCACTGCAACTAGTGGATGTACCCTGGGAGATTCCAGGGAGTGGCTGTCCTGAACCTGTTATGCTCCCCAGGCTGCCCCTGCGGACTGTGTTGTCTTTTGTCTCCTTTCCCTTCCTGGAATGCATTCCCATCTTCCTGATAGCCTTGCTCTCTGTTGCTGCCCATCACATCACCTTCCTCTTTGTGATACATTCCATCATAGGATGCTTGTTCAGATCCATCTTGAGGTGCCTGAGAGGCGCCCTCAAATGATGGCAGTGAGAGAAGAGCGCACTTTGCTCTTGAATGAACTCATTGTGTTCAATATCAGCTTATAATGCATTAATGAATTTGGAATGTTTGGTTATTAATTGATCTATTGTAACTTTTCCTTAATTATCTTGGTTATTGAACTTAAGCATATGCTGTGGTTCATTGTCATGTCCACTTTAGTTGGCCCTGAAATTATTCTGATTGGATGTTCCTCCTTTGATTTTTAAAATTTTAAAATTTTAAAATTAAGCCATTTCTCTTAATTTAGCCTCTTCACTTTTTCTTGTGGTCATGCTGATCTGAAAAGTGGCTGCAGGCAGTAATCATTAGTCACACTCAGGCTATAATTTTAATTCCCTGCATCCTCCCCCCTAGCACAAATGCTGGCCGGGGTGGTGGTGGTGTATACTGGCTTGAGTTGTGTTTTTTGCCCTGTCCTCAATGTTTGCTTCCCCTGCCATCCACAGAATTATTGCTGACTCTTCAATTGTTGCTGTCATATTCTTTAGTATCTTAGCAAAGTAGAAAATAATACACAGCCAATCAAAGTCTAACAAAAGCAGCTAAAATAAATGATCACTTAATTCAGAGTGAAAAGACTTTACTAAAGAGGAAGGTCTTGACTCCTTTTGTCAAGGAGAAAGAGCAGTGGCTGTAGAGAGAATGCATCCCATAGCAGAGCAGTACAGAAAGCCTGTTCCCATACTCCCAAAAAGTCTTCAGAAAGTATAGACATCTTTGGTTCTGCTGATCTTAATGTTGGACAAGATGATACGGAGATGGACAGGCCATCAAAAATTTGGGTTCTAACTGCTAAGAGTTTAAATGGTGCCCAAGAAATAATTGGCAACCGGGGCTGGTCCCAGAGCTGAGTCTCCCACTGGCCCAACAATACCTCAGTCTCATCTGAATATAATTTCAGTTATTTCATCATCATCCAATCCTTTCTGAAACTTGGGTGTTGTTCAGGAGAATCAGAGTGCAGCTGACCACGGATGCTGGCTGAACAGGCTGGAGAACAGGCTGAGATCCTTCTCAGTTCAAGGCCTGGGATCCTTACCAAAGGCCCTTGGTGCTGAACAGTTGATTGGAGCTGAGGGTTAGGACTCAGAGCTCCTGATATAGACAGACAGTATCAGAATCAAGACTTATATCAATCACTGGAGGAACCTCTCTTTCTCAGTGTCTGTCCTCTGGAATGATGTCCCCCAGAGATATGAGTGGCTTCAGGAAGCTCTTAAAGACCCAGCTCTTCTCCCAGGCTTTAGAGTAGAGTGACGGTTGAAACTCAGTTGGGTGGGGTTTTTTAATTATATGTTTTTGGGGGCACTTATGATTTCTTTTTTGTCTTGTAATTTGTTTTTAATTGTAAGCCACCCAGAGTTGTTGGAAGTCAGGCAGCCTCTAAATCAGTCAGACAAAAAGTTCAAAGGGTGTTGGAATGGAGGCAGACTGGCTAATGAGGTAGGCAGAGACACCTGCCTGTCTTTGATTGTGGCAATATATAAAGGGCTCCCTGAACACAATGGTGGACAGGCTCAGCCATCAGAGTGTGCTTCACCCAGAATTTCCTTGCTGGATGTCTGTAAGGCAGCCACATGGTCAGAGTGGTCTAGCTTTAATAAACGTTACAGAATAGACCTTGGCATCTCTGGAGTCAACTAAAGTTGACCTGAACCTGCCCAGCGTGTAGTCCACTTTCCTGTCAGCACTATCTTTTGGTGACTGAGAATGGCACTTGGACTTTCCACGAGGTGCTCTTCTGGTCACTGAAGATGGGCCTGGCAGCTCTACCTAGCAAGAGGTGGTTTGGGGTCTGTGTGCTGTTGAATACTGAATCATCTGTGTTCCTCTGTTTAGTGGTAATACTTTATTTTTCATGTTTCTCTATGACTTGTGAGTTCGGAATAATAAACTTTTTAAGGTATATTTTTCAGTTGAAGTCAGGGTGACTAAAGTGGAAGAGTTTACAGACAAAAAGCAGTGTAGCTCTGCTGTCTCCCAGAAGAGGAGAGTTAACCCTTTTGTGTCAGGTTTATCTTGATTGACCAGAAGGATATAAGTCTAAGAATGTTTGTATAGCCCCATTAGGTTCTTTTGCTCTCCTCCAGTTTTTTTCCTCAATGGATTTTTTTAGCAATTGTATTTTAGTTTCTTCAGGAACTCCTACCTATCCTGGGTTCCTTTTTGTATTTGCTTCTCCTGTAATGGGATCCTATTTATCGTTGCCCTGAATTCATTAAAATCTGCTTTTATGAAATCCAGGATGTATTTAATATCCGTATAAGGTTGAACTGTTGTATACCCTCTTGGCCTCCCAGAAGGCCTTCTGGCCCAACCCTTGGGGGAAGTGAGTTGAGCCCAGCAGATGTGCAGTTTGTATGAGGTTGTGACGGTGCCTTGGCTGGAATGTGATGGCCTTTAATTCTATGGGGTTTCTGTTTGTATCTTTTAGTTTGTTGATATCGTTTGATTGTTGTTAGCCACCCATGGTTACATTGTGTAAGATGGGCAGCTATATAAATCTTTCAAATAAATGGACAAATAAGTAATAATTATGGTTATTTTTTAAATTATTCTGATGTTGATAATGTGTTTAATATTACTGCTTAATGAATCAGAGTCATAACAATTGAAGCAGCCCAGACACACCTAAAATAAAATAAAACAAAATAGAATAGAATAGAATGAATTTCATCACTCTATGGTCACTTTCCTTCAGCGTTCCTAGTAATATAAGAATCTGCAAGGCTCAGTTCCCAACGAAAGCAACTCCCATTGAAACCGATGTAGGTTCAAAGAATTCATTTGTTGAGGAACCAATGTACAGTTCTAGGTCATTGCCAAAACAAAAAGCCCGCGCGCACCAAACTTACTTTTACCCACTTTTTCCCTTCACCCCCCTTCCTGTCTATAATCTTTCTTGTGCATGTCACCGGTTTTCCCCTGGTCTCATGCTGGCATAACCTTGGGCATTCCTGAGAAACAGATGACAGTCCATCTGTGCCTAATGGTTCATCCTTCCTTCCCCCCCGCCTCTAGTAATGGCAGAAACAAAGCAAGCAAACTAGCAGCTCAATTAATTGATTGTGAGGCTTCTGCCATGCTGCCCCTCTGGAAAAAAGGATCAGGTTCGCCCTTTGGAGAGAGAGACCTGTAAAAGATCAAAGACAGAGAGAAAAGGGGCATGCGCGCGCACACACACATATACTTTTTACATAGTTATAAAACTTATAAAGCCATTATTTTGGTTTCTTTGGGTATTTTTTGTAAAAGTCTTTGATCAGCTGCGGTGCTCTGACATGTTTCTTTGTGACCCATTCACACTGAGACTTGGGAAAATGCTTCCAGTGAATCAGGAATTGTATTTCCCCTCTGTTTTCTGGCATCCAAAACCTCTTTTACTTCAAAATGCTGTTCACCTTCATCATGGGATCGAGGTGGTGGTGGTTGGAAAGTGTGCCACTCTGATGACTCTTTACAGGATTTTAACAGATTGCAGTGAAACATAGGATGAATCCTTTTAAGGCTTTTTGGTAGCTGTAGCCTAAAAGTAACTGGGTTGATGAACCTCTCTATGGTAAAAGGTCCCACAAATTTGGGACTCAACTTTTTTGATGGCTGGCTTGACTTGAGGTGTTTAGTAGATAGATAGACTTGTCCCCCACTTTCCAGTCCTTTTCTGGGGATCATTTGCGATCAGCATATTTTTTATAATCTTCTCTCACTTCCTGCAATGCCCCGTTAATTATCAGCCATATCTGTCATTTGTTGTATCCATTCATCAGCCAAAGCCTGAGTGGTCTTTTGAGGAAGCTTGGGGATCGGCACAAAGTCCTGCCCGGTAGCTATTTTGAATGGGGTAAAGCCAGTGCTTTGATGCATGGCATTGTTATACGCAACCTTGGTAAAAGGCAACAGATCCACCCAGTTATCTTGCTGGTAGTTAATAAAGCACCTTAAGTACTGTTCTAACACAGAGTTCAGGCATTCACTGGCTCTATCCATCTGAGAGTGATGACTCGAACTCAGCCTGACTTGACCCAATCAATTTAATAAATGCCCTCCAGAATTTTGATGTGAATTGGACCCTCTGATCACTAATGATCTGTTTGGGGATCTCATGACGCCTGTAGACGTGCTGAATGAACATTTTAGCCAACTTCCCTGCAGAGGGAATGGACGTGCACAGTGTCAGGTTCAGCCTGGCTCAGCACACACCATTCAAGCTAGCTGCCATTCCGCCTAGCTAAGTTCAAATGTGCCTGGTCAGCTTCCTTGCCTCAGGTGCAGGAGATCGAAAGAGGAAGCGCTAACTGCAAGTAAACTGCGACAGGTGGCGGCAAT